TGTGTGTGTGTGTGTGTGTGTGTGTGTGTGTGTGTAGAAATTCTGGAAGGTTACATAAGAAACCATTAACAGGGATTAACCATTGAGGCTAATTCACCTCGTATACAAAGAGCTCTTAGAAATTAGTAAGAAAAAGATCAACAAATGGAAAGGGAAATGGGCAAAGATTGCTAAGAACTAGAGCGTTAGGGGTGCCTAAGTTGGGGGATGGCATTTCATTATTTCATGGCATGAATCCTTTCTTAACCAACGTCAATATTACACATTTTTAAAAGTGAAATTTTCAAGACATCAAAAAGTAAAAATGAAGGAACTTTTACCTTCTGTGATAGCATGAATGGGCCTGGATTTATTATGCTAAGTGATATAAGCCAGTGAGGGGAAGACAAATACCATATGATCTCACTTATATGTGGAATCTAATGAACAAAATAAACCAACAAAACAGAAACAGAGACATGGACACATGGGACAGGCGGACAGCCGTCAGAGGGGAGGTAGGAGGGTAGACAGTATAAAAGAAGGTGAAGGGATGATACAAAAGACATATATACAAAACACATAGACACAGGCACAGTGTGGTAACAGCCAGAGGGAAAGGGAATGGGAGTAGGTGGGGGTGGGGGAATGGGGACAGAGCGAGACTTCGCTTGGGGTGATGGGCACATGATGCAGTGTGCAGGTGATGTTTCATTGAGTTGTACACTTGAAACATGTATGGTTTTGCAAACCAACATCACTCCAATAAATTCAATTAAAAAAAAAAAAGACTTGTGGGGGGAGCTAATGGAGGAGAAGGTAAAAAATAGAAGGATTCTAGCAGATACAGAGGCTTCCTGGGGAAACAGAAATGAGAGTCATGATGTGGGCACCCCAACGGCAAAGAAAAAGCCCATCAAAATTGGTGGGCAAAAGCTGAAGAGAGATTCCCTCATTCCCATGCAAAGTGGGTTTGGTAGGGACTACAATAGGTTAATAAAGACTGAGCCCTTTTGTGTCACTGACAGGGAGGCAATTTTAACAAGAACATGGTTCAAAACCTCAGAGCCAAGCACAGCACCTGACCTATGGCAGGTGAGCAAGAAACACTTGATAAATTCATCCACTCAACATACATTTATTGATTGTTTATCACTTTCCAGGAGATCTCATTGGTGAACCCAACAGTATAAATTCCCTTTCCTCGTGGATCTTCCATTGTGATGGAACGAATGAAAGAACATCTGGAATGCAGACATCTGAGTGCACTTGGACCTCCAGATCACCCTGTCTGGGACCTGCCATGGTCCCCATCTGAGCTGGGAGGGAACACTAGGAGGGTGTCTTCGTGAGTGTGAACCCCTAGTGACTTGAGTAGAAACAAAATAATTAGCATCTTCCTTCTTAACAAGGAGCCATGGGATTGGAGACCCCAAGAGACCCCAAACAGTAAATATCTTGCTGTGTCCCTGACCCCCTGCTCACCTGCCCCAGGCTGGGGGGTGGGACACATGCTTTTCCCTCGCAGACATCAGATTGGCCCCAGCCATCACAGCGGAGTCGTCGCCCCCTGCCCTTTTTGCGGGCTTAGTGCTAACCTCGGGATCCTCTGGCAGCCAGTGGAGAAGGAGGCCTGCGAGACCGTCCCCTTGGTGACACCATACTGGTAAGTCAGTGAATGATGGAGAAGGGGAGTGAACTGGATGGGATTGGGGAAGAGGACTCCTTTTCCTTCCTGGATGGCCAGAGAGAAAGAGAGAAATGACTGAGTTCAATACTATACCTGCTGAGTGGACAAAGGCACAGAGGGCAGGCCTCTGTAGAAGGTCCTGGGGGGGAAAGGGATTTAGTGTCTGTGGTTGGCAGACAACTGCACAAATGGGAGAGACACTGCAAACCTGCTTTCTCCAATGAGGGGTTCTCCAAGAGTGGTCCCCATGCCAGCATCAGCAACCCCTGGGAACTTCCTAGAAGTGCTGATTCTCGAGCACCTCCCCAGGTACTCTGAGGCACTGGTCCAGCTGCCTGTCTTAGCCAGCCCTCTAGGTGACACTGATGCACGCCCAAGTTTGAGAACCACTGCCCTAGTGCAACCCAGGACTTCATGGCACCAACCGAGGACTGCTCACATGGTATAGGCAGCCCAGAGAAACCTTAACATCACCTGACAAAATCCTCAAACCCAACTCCAAAAATTCTTAAGAAGTAACATAAGGCTTTGCTCGAGATTTCTTGAGGTTACCAAAGAGAAGATCGTGCTGCTAATCTTCCTGAAAGCCCCTATTTTGACACTTCTTTCTTTTATATATATACTAGTGGCCCAGTACATAAAATTTGTGCACCGGGTGTCCCTCAGCCCGGCCTGCACCCTCTCCAATCTGGGACTCCTCAGGGTATGTCCAACTGCCAGTTTACAAGGATTGGGCTTAAACTGGCAGTCGGACATCCCTCTCAAATCCGGGACTGCTGGCTCCTAACCACTCACCTGCCTGCCTGCCTGATTGCCCCTAACCACTCTGCCTGCCGGCCTGCTCACCCCCAACTGGCACCCCTGTTGGTCTGCTTGCCCCCAAATACCACCCCTGCTGGTCTGATAGCCCCCAACTGCCCCCTCCCTGCTGGCCTGCTCACCCCCAACTGCCCCCCACTGCCTGCCTGCCCACCCTGCCAGGGCTCTGCAATCAATGATGCACAGAGGGAGGCCCTGGACACCCTGCTGGGGCTCTGGGATCAATGGCAGAGCAGAGGCAGGCGTTTCCCACCTGGCCTGGGCTCCGCCATTAATCCCTGACCACAGGGAGGCCCTGCCCACCAGGCCTGGGCTCTGTGATGAATGCAGAGCAGAGGCAGGCGTTTCCCACCAGGCCTGGGTTCACCATTGACCCCGCCCACAGGGAGGCCCTGCCCACCCTGCTGGAGCTCTGCCATCAATGGCAGAGCAAAGGCAGGCGTTTCCCATCTGGCCTGGGCTCCGCCATTAATCCCTGCCCACACAGAGGCCCTGCCCGCCCTGTGATCAATCACTGCCCACGGGAGGCCCTACCTGTGCTGCCCACCCTGCCAGGGCTCTGTGATCAATGCTGCGCAGAGGGAGGCCCTGCCCACCCAGCTAGGGCTCTGCCATGGGCCCTCACAGCCATGGCTTTGTCCGGAAGGAGGTCTGGAAGGTCGTCCAGAAGGCCTCCCTGTCTAATTAGCATATTACCCTTTTATTAGTATAGATGGCCTAGGATGAGCTCCAAATCCCTTCCTAAATGGGTGGGGAAATACAACCAGGGTCGTCGCAATTTAAAATGGGTAAATGAGAATATGGTAAGAACATACCTACATGTTTGCATTTCGTTAAATCATGCTCTCCCGTATTCACTGCTTTAGCAATTCATCGTTATTTTCATATTAGTTTATAGCAGAATGTTATTTTATAAACTCCCTTTTCCTGTCATCGGATCAACTACAGGGATAAGCACGTAGCACACTTTGCTCTTTATCAACTAGGCATTTTCTCACACCTTTGTCATTTTTCATAAAAACGGCTTACCTTTGAACAGTCTGGGCTGTGTCTCTGAGTTTTCATTTTGAACAAACTTTTTTTATATTTTTTTTATTTATTTCAGAGAGGAAGGGAGAGGGAGAGAGAGACAGAAGCATCAATGATGAGAGAGAATCATTGATCAGCTGCCTCCTGCACTTTCCCTCCTGGGGATCGAGCCCGCAACCTGGGCACGTGCCCCTGACCGGATTGAACCCGGGACCCTTCAGTCCACAAGCCAACGCTCTATCCACTGAGCCAAACCAGCTAGGGCTTGAACAAACCTTTTTTAACAGCTGATTTACTGAGAGTGCAAAGCTGTTTCAGTCGATAGTGACAGTCTGTGTAGAACATGAGAAAATATAAAATTTCTTGTCTTGCAAAGCTACTGCTGATGGCAAATATATTTCCAAAGCATATATTTAAAGCCATTAGTTTTAAAACTCCATGTGTTATTTTTTTTCTGTAAAAACTCTGGTTAGCCTGGCCTGGGTGGCTCAGTGGTTGAGCATCAACCTACAAACCAGGAGGTCACAGTTTGATTCCTGGTCAGGGCACATGACTGGGTTGCAGGCTCAATCCCCAGTGCAGGAGGCAGCCAATCAATGATTCTAATCATTGATCTTTCCATCTCTCTCTCCCTCTCCCTTCCTCTCTGAAAGCAATAAAAATATATTTTTTAAAAAAACATCTCCATGTAACTAGCTTTCTGGGTCCATCCATGGTCTCCATTTCCCCTGAAAATACACTGATTGCTGTGCCAGCATACAGCATGCTTGGGCCAGAAAACTCCATGCTAACTCACTGAAGCCATTCTACTCTCATCAGTTGAGTTGCATCGCTTTAGGTAATTAATCCTCAACCCGGTTATGCTGGTTATAGTTGCTGTTGCAATTGTATCATTTAATTAGATGTTACCTAAATGAAAGAACTACAAGAAGAAGAAAGAAAGGGAGGGAGGGAGGGAGAAAGGGAGGGGAAAATGTGGTTTTATGAAACACAAGTTGAATGCTTTCGAAAGACTTGATAAAAAGGCATCATTAAAAACAATTGCTGCCTGGCCAGTGTGGCTTAGTGGTTGAGCACTGACCCATGAACCAAGAGGTTACAGGTTTGATTCCCTGTCATGGCACATGCCCAGGTTTCAGGCTCAATCCCCAGTAGGGGGCATGCAGGAGGCAGCTGATAGATGTTTCTCTCTCATCCATGTCTCTGTTTCTCTATCCTTCTCCCTTCCTCTCTCTCTAAAATCAATAAATAATTTTTTAAATCTAAAAAAATAAAACTGCGTTAGTTTAGGTTTGGTTCCACTTTATTTTGTTTTTACAAATCTTTGCTCTTCTGAAGAGATACAGAGATGTTTATGAAAAATATGCAAGTTGTCTTTAAACCACTCAGGTCTTTGAGATACAGACTATCTCAGGCATGGATGGTTTAATTTGGGGAAACAGAAATCCACTGAAGGTAGCAGAACAAGGAGATTTGCTATAAGGATTCCATGGGTTTTCACAGAATCCTACAGATCTCACTGGAGAACTGGGACAAGGCCTGCTTCTCTGACTCCCAGCTTATGTTGCTTCCCTCTCCCACCCATCCACCCCCCCTTTTTTTTTTCAGTAGACAAAGACAGCTCATGGGACCAGAAAATCAAACAGTCGTCTCAGAATTCCTTCTCCTGGGACTCTCAGAAAAGCCAGAGTATCATGCCCTCCTGTTTGGGCTGTTCCTCTCCATGTACCTGATCACTGTCTTTGGGAACCTGCTCATCATCCTGGCCATTGTCTCAGACTCCCACCTCCACACGCCCATGTACTTCTTCCTCTCCAACCTGTCCCTCGTCGATGCCTTCTTCTCATCTACCACTGTCCCCAAGATGCTGGCAAACCTCTGGTCCCAGAGCCGCGCCATCCCTTTCGCCGGCTGCCTTGTCCAGCTGTATGCCTTCCACCTGTTTGGGACCATGGACAGCTTCCTCCTGGCAGTGATGGCCATTGACCGGTTTGTGGCCATTGTCTACCCTCTGCGCTACTTGGTCATCATGAGCCCCCGTGTCTGTGGGCTGCTGGTCGGTGGGCCGTGGCTGATCACCAACCTCCAGTCACTCGTGCACACCTGCCTCATGGCTCAGCTGACCTTCTGCGCAGGCTCCGAAATCCCCCACTTCTTCTGTGACCTCATACCCCTGCTGAAGCTCTCCTGCTCCGACACCCACACCAATGAGCTGGTGATCTTTGCTTTTGGCATTCTCATGGGCATCAGCCCGCTCTCATGCATTCTCCTCTCTTACACCTGCATCTTCCGGGCGGTCTTCAAGATCCCTTCTGCTCAGGGCAAATGGAAGGCCTTCTCCACTTGTGGCTCCCACCTCACCGTGGTGTCACTGTTCTATGGCACCATCTTCACTGTGTACTTGCACCCCGCATCTCTCACCTCCTCCCAGAAGGACAAGGCAGCTGCCCTGATGTGCGGGGTGGTCATCCCCATGCTGAACCCATTTATCTACAGTCTAAGGAACAAGGACATAAAGGCAGCCCTGAGGAAGTTCCTCAGCAGAACAACCTCCTCTCAGTCCTAGGGCAGAACAGGTATTGAGTACCTACTTTGCTCCGGGACCACAGTAGGGTGCTGGGGAGAATGAGATGCACTCAAGGTATTCAGATCTAGGGGGGGACAGAGACATGTAAATAAATCATTACAATATGACAAATGCATCACAAAGTGATGAATAAAAAGCTACAGGAACCCAAAGGGAGAGGTATGCATTTTTCCTGGTTTTATCTTCCCTGAAGATCAGGGAAGACTTTTAATTAGCCCTCTCTGGGGTATCAGCCTGATAGGATTGCTATATGGATAATACTAGTCAAACAAAAGATTGGCTACTCTCATTTTAATATTGATAAAGCCAGCTACCTAGCCTTGCTTCCTTAGTGACTTGGGGAAGGACGTTGATAGTATCTGACTAGGTTCTCTCTCTTGTAAGTGGTTTCAGCAGCCACCAGGTGTCACTGAGGACCTTGTGGCCATGACTTTGGGTGGGTATTGTTGTCATCAAAAGGCCTTCAATGCATGCCCTCCCAGCCCCACACTGGATCCGAGGAGACCATGACACGGGCTCAGGGGATTGTGATTCAATGGGCTGACACTGGACTTTAGAATCTGCCTTCTTGCCCTAGCTGGTTTGGCTCAATGGATAGAGCATCAGCTTATGGACTGAAGGGTCCCAGGTTCAATTTCAGTCAGGGGCACATGCCCAGGCTCGATCCCCAATAGGGGGCGTGTGCAGGAGGCAGCCGATCAATGATTCTCTCTCATGATTGATGTTTTTATCTCTCTCTCCCTCTCCCCTCCTCTCTGAAATCAATAAAAATATTTTTTTTTAAAGAATTTGCCTTCTTCATAAACTCTCCAGGCAGCTGATGTGGGGAGTCCATGGGCCACAGTTTGAGGACACAGACCCTGGGTGAGCTCCAGAATCCATGTGTTTCCTATGATGTCCTTTAACTGACTCCAAACCCAATATATTTCTACAGGCATGATCAGCAACAAGAAGATGGGGTGGCCTGGAATGCCGGAGAGTTCAGGTTATGAATTGTGTTCTCCAAAAAAAACTGTGTCAAAGTCTAACCTCCAGGACCTCAGAATTTGATCATAGGTTCTGATCCAGTATGACTACTGGTGTCCTATAAGAAAGGAGAATTTGGCCCCGCAGTCATGGCTCAGTGGTTGAGCATTGACCTATAAACCGGGAGGTCATGGTTCGATTTCCAGTCAGAGTACAAGCCCGGGTTGTGGGCTCGATCCCCAATGCAGGAGGCAGCCATTCAATGATTCTCTCTCATCATTGATGTTTCTATCTCTCTCTCCCCCTTCCTTCCTCTCTGAAATTAATAAAAATAGATTTTTTAAAAGAAGGGATAATATTGACCCACACAGGGAGAACACCATGTGAAGATGAAGGGAGAGATCGAGTGATGTTTCTACAAGTCAAGAAATTACAATTGGAAGCAGACCGCAGAAGCCTGGGGAGGCATAGAGCAGATGCTCCCTCAAAGCCCCCAGAAGGATCCAAGCCTGCCAACTTTGATCTCAGATTTCTGGCCTCCAGACCGTGACAGAATAAATTTCTCTGTGTAAGTCACCCAGTTTATGGTACTTCGTTACTCGGTCCTGGCAAATGCATACAGTTAGTTTAGGAAGGGCTGGCATCATGCAAAAACCATGCCCAGATACACCCTCTCAAGTTCATGACCTACCAAGTGTTCTGGTTATGGGAGTCTGGATTGCAACTGGACAAAACAATAAGGGATTTAAATGCGTCAATTCACTTTCTGGATCCAGTGTTACGACAATAATGACACCAACAGCTGAGATGTGCTATGTACTTGGCATGGGGCTAAGCCTTTTATATGCATCATCTCATCAAATTTTCAACAGCAACACTTATAAGGTAGGTAATGTAACTCCTTATTGTACAGATAGCAAAACCAAGGCTTAAAAAGGGAAGCTGCTAATAAGTGGTAGCCAAGGTTCATACAGAGGACCCACCTCAGAGTCCCAGGTCTTAATGACACACAATACTGTCTAGAATTCAGCGCCTAGACCAGGGGCTACAAACTTAGGCTCTGTGAGCCTGTTTTGGCACAGCCTTTGAGCTGAGAATGGTTGGAAAAAATTTAAAAAGAAGACTATCCTGTAACAGATCAAAATTATATAAAAGTCTAATGTTAGCACCCATAACACAGCTAAGCCCATTTGTTTATATATTATCTGTGATTGCTTGCAAGGTACAAGGCAGAGAGGAGTAGTCTTTTTTTCTTTTCTTGTTAAACCTCACCCACGCACAATTTTCCATTGATTTTTTTTTTAAGAGAGTGAAAGGGAGGAGGGGAGACAGAGAGAGGGAGAAGCATCTATGTGAGAGACACACACATGTCCGGGCGCTAATGGAGCCTGCAAAGAAAGTACGTGTCCTTGACGGGAATGACGCTCTATTCACTGAGCCAAACTGGCTGGAGCCAGAGTTGAGTAGCTTTGACAGAGACCCTATGGCATGCAAAGTCTAAAATATTTACTTTCTGGCCCTTTACTGAGTTTGTTGACCCATTTTCTACAGGAGAAGCCTGGTACTCGTGTAGGTCATGAATCAGAAGCATCAGCATCATGGGAGCTTGCTAGAAATTAAGACTCAGACGCTATCGCAGACCACTCGCTGAATCATAATTTTTTTAAATTGATTTTAGAGAGGCGAAGGGAGAGAGAAAGACAGGGAAAGAGAAACGTCGATGTGAGAGAGAAACATCACATCGATCGGGTTGCACACCTCGCCAGTACCGGTGATCCAACCCCTTGGTGTATGGGACCATGCTCCGACCAACTGAGCCACACACCCACACGGGCCAGGGTGAATCATAATTTTAGCAACAACCTCCAGGGTTTTGTATGAACCTAAAAGTTTGAGGATCACAGGGATAGATGCGAGTGAAAGGGGGCTGTAGAGATTTGGGACCCAAATAGGCCATCAGTTCAGAGATATGGGAAAACGGAATCCGGGGGGATGATTTTTTTTCAGCCCCTGCCTTTGTCTGGGAGCCGACGGTGATGCCAAATGCTTAAGAATTACAGCTACGTGCCCTGGCCGGTTTAGTTCAGTGGATAGAAAGTTGGCCTGTGGCCTGAAGGGTACCAGGTTCATTCCGGCCGGAGGCACATGCCCAGGTTGTAGGCTCGATCCCCAGTACGGGATGTGCAGGAGGCAGCCAATCAATGATTCTCTCTCATCATTGATGTTTCTCTCCCTCTCCTTTCCTCTCTGAAATCAATAAAAATATATTTTTTTAAAAAAAAATTGCAGCTACAGTTTGAGGACGTGGCCACCAGGTGGCGATAGTATCATTTTAATAGATGAATCTAAATCTTTTTTCAGAAACATCCTAGGTATGAACTGACCCAGCACCATACACCTCAAGTGTAATCCGCCCATGAAAGGGAACAGCATGTGCAAAGTTCCCGTGGTGGGACGAAGCCTCACTTGTTCAGAGAAACAACCCACAGTGAGAGGGGACTGGGGTGTTCAGGGGGCTGTGGAGGGTGGCAGGGGTCAGCCCTCACCACCCGACTGGTCCACAGGGTAGAGGCGACCATGATAGAGTTAAGCAGGGATGTGCGGAGGGCCTGTGCTATAGAACCAACCCACTAGTGAGCCATGAATCTGAAGTCAGAAAACTTTTTCTGTAAAGGGCCAGAGAATAAATATCATCAGCTTCATGGGTCACAATGACTCAGCTCCGCTGCTTGGAGTGGAAGCCACCATAGGAAATACATCAAGGAATGGGCATGGCTGAGCACCATGAAACCTTATAGACACTGAATCTTGAATATCATATCATTTTACGTGTAATGAAATATTGTCCTTTTTTTACTGTTCCATTGGGGGAAAAATGTATTGAAGTCATCAAAGGGATTCAGAAAGATTCACAACTAATATCTACCTTCTATGTGCTCTTCTCTCCCAAAATGTGGTGATAAAATATGACATGTAATTTTTTTAAAGAAAGTAAAAAATACTGCAGAAATAGATCTTCTGGTGCCACAGGCCCTTTGCATATACTGCTCCCACTTCCTCGCATCCTCCCAGAGTTAATGCCGTGCAAACCCCACTTCCTCTAGGAAGACTCTCCTCTGCCCCTCCTGCCCCAGCTACATCATGTGCCTGATATACTCACTATCCTCTCATTCTCCTCACCACATCAGTGATTTTATATTCATTTGTGTGAGTCTTTATTTTTATTTTTTTCAGAGTGGAAGAGAGAGAGAGAGCTCAACATCAGTGATGAGAGAGAATCATTGATCTGCTGCCTCCTGCATCCCCCCCACTGAAGATCAAACCTCAAACCCAGGCGTGTGCCCTGACCAGGAATCATGACCTCTGGTTCATAGGTTGACGCTCAACCACTGAGCCAGGCTGGCCAAGCCATTTGTGTGATTCTTTGGTCAATGTCTATTTCACCCACTTGACTGAGACCTGGGGGCTGAGACCATGTTCTGTTTACCTTGCCCAGCTCCATACCCTCACACTTAGTACAGTGGCCACTCAAAATATATTTGTTGAGTGAATGAAAGAATGAATAAGGAGGCAGCATAATAAAAAGACTGTATGATGCCGGATGAGGTGACTGAGGTAGGCTGGGCTGGAACAGAGATGTCAAGGTTAAGTTGCCGCAGTATGTGATGTAAATTCCTTCTCCACTCCCCAGCTTTCAGTAAAGTTTGTCGCCTTGGTGACATCAAGGAAAGAAGCAGGAACAGCAAACTCACAGTAGAACTATTTAATTCAGCAGAAACTGTGAGAAAATAATCATCTAGGGGTTCTCCAAAATCTCAGTGATGGGTTGGAAGGGGTGGAGCCCATTTACGTAAATCTGAAGGATCAGAGTGATGCTGGCCTTTGTTAGAATACAATAATACTTCTTTCTCTCCATACAGGATTTTGTCGGGTAATTCAAAGCAATTTTTGGAGATTCAAACACTACAGCTCAGAGATGGCAACTGACTATCACAAGGCCACACACTGGATTTGGGAGGGGGATTCCAGTCCAGTTTAGAGTGACCCCCAAAACCTGAACTCTCCTCTCTCCATCATGACACTGCTGGCCTCCCAGGTGGGTGACTTAGCTAAAGTCACACTGCAGCTTGGAACAGCTCAAGTCCTGCCCCATGGGGGGTTCTGGGGGGCAAAAGGTAGATCAGCTGGTGGAAGTGGCTACAAAGCTGCTGCTGGCAACGCATGAAGGACTCAGTAAGACTTGCACCCAAGGTCCTGGAGGGGGAGCTCTTACTCCCAAGTGTATACATCACAGGGATTTGAGGAGTCACTACACTTTCTGTGAACCTGCACAGTGGGAGATCGCCAAGACCATCCTCACTAGAAGGACTCACAGAACTCAGCAAAGTTGTTATACTCATAGTTTATTACAGGAAAGAATATGGATTAAAATCAGTAAAGACAAAAGGCACATGGGATGGGGTCCGGGAGAGGCCAGGTACAAGCTTCGGTTGTCCTTCCTGTAGAGTTGTGAGGACAGTGCTTAATTCTCCCAGCAATGATATGTGTGATGCACTGCCAACCAGGGAAGCTTACCTGAGTCTTAGTGTCCAGGCTTCTCATTGGGGGTTGGCCACTATATCCGGTCCCTAGAGCTGCCATAACAAAACACCCCAGACTGGGTGGCTTAAACAATAGAAATTTATTTTCTCATTTATGAAGGCTGAGAGTCTGCAGACCTCAAGGCGTCAGTAGGGTTGGTTCCTTCTGAGTCCTCTCTCCTTGACCTAATGAGGAAACGGGGACCTAGAGATAAAGATTCAAGTGCAAGTCGTTTACTTGGGAAGTGATCCAGGAAATGGTGGAAGGGAGGTGGAGAAGTGAGACTGGGAAGGAAATGAAGTTGGTAGAGTACATTTATATGCAAGTTTCCACTGTGGGCAGCTGGAGCTCAAACCTGTAGGGACTTCTGGGGGTCAGTGTGTAACATATACCTCAGTCATCCGACGTGAGGAGTGAGGGAGCTGGCTTACTTATCCACCAAATCCCATTGTCTGCCACAGAGGTGCAAAGCTCTGCTCAAACCTGGCCACCCCCCTCTACCTGCATTTCTTCTTTCCAAAATTCCACATATATATTGAGGGCTGAATTATCCATCAGTCACCATAAGCACAGCACATCAGGTCTACAGCCAGTGAGAACATTTGGGGAAAAGAAATCTCACACACACACACACACACACACACACGGGCTCCAAAATCCAAATAGCAACTACCAAAATCCAGATGAGTAATAGTACAAACATCACAAAGTGTTAAGTTTAGCATTTATAATGATTTCATTATATAGTTTGTAGATCATTTGTTCTCACTTATCAAGAATGCCTTATTGCTGAGGAAGAACCACAGCCAACTGTGAGTTATATGAGCTACATAGCCAAATAAATGCAACAGAAAAAGTGCAGAAACCCTCCCAAAAGGTTTACCAAAAAAATAATAAATATTGATATGGCTGCTTTTCAATTATATGGGTGGGGTCAAGGGCTGCTCTCATCCCCACATTGGCTTCCAGCTCCTCTAAGGTCCTAGGGTACCCCAAGAGAACCCTAGTCCTACACCCCCTGCCTTAGACTTGTAAATAGGTATTGTCTTTACCCCCAACCACTCTCCCCACTATCAGCAGCTACCTCAAAGACATCTGGGCAGGGATCTGATGAGGTGCACCCCATCCCTCTTCAGCCTGATTCCTCCCAAACACACACATCCAAGGAAAATACACAGAGCTAAGAGACTTGTGAGACACTACCAACATACCAACATATACACAATGGGTCTCCCGGAAAGAGAGAGGAGAAAGGGGCAGAAAGAATAGTTGAAGAAATAATAGCCAAAAGCTTCCCAACATTGATGAAAGATATGAATCTACACATCCAAGAAGCTCAAAGATCACTAAGTAGAATAAACACATAGATCTACATTGAGACACCATAAGCAAACAACACTTTTTCTGTCCAGGCCTTCTAGCCACCCATCTTGTCCAAAACTTCATCACCTGGCACCTGATCTCCTGCCTGAACATTCAGCAGTGAAATAGACAGATAAGCATCTGGTGGAGTTTCAGTCTAAACAAGGACGTAGATAAACTAGAACAAACTATTGGTGCTATTAAGTTTAAGCTGAAGCAAGTATTCGAAGAAATGAAATACACTGATGTAATCATGACTGGGTGGTGGTAGTTTGTCAGGGAGGGCCTCCCAAGGAGGTGCCATTGAAACTAAAGGATGTGAAAGAGACAGCTTCAGAAGAACCAAGATTTTGCCCGGCCAGCTTGGCTCAGCAGTTGAGCATCAACCTATGAACTAGGAGGTCATGGTTTGAGTCCCAGTCATGGCACATGCCCAGGTTGTGGGCTCGATCCCCAGTGGGGGGGCTGTAGGAGGCAGCTGATCAATTATTCTCTCTCATCATTGATATTTCTCTCTCTCTCTCTCTCCCTTCTTCTCTGAAATCAATAAAAATGCATTTTTTAAAAAGAACCACCAAGGTTTCTGAGGCAGAGGAAACTGCATGTACAAAGGGCCTGAGGCAGGAATAGTTTGTGAAGGAGTCCCAGAGAGGAGGCTGAAGTGAGTGCTGGGGACAACAAGGAGATGAAGGCAGAAGTTTTGTTGGATCTGGATTTTATTCTAGGTGGGGTGAGCAGTCATAAGAAGACTGTTCAGCAGGGGTGTGCCATGATCTGATTTCAGCTTTTTAAGTCTACTCTGGGTGCTGTGTGAAGAATGGAATGTAGGAATGAGGGGTTAACTTTTCCAAAACCACCCCAATAATCTCTCTCACCCCACATCCTCTTGCACAAGGTCACCTTGACACATCACCCACTGAGAGAGATGGCATCTATGTCCCTTCCCCTTGAATTTGGTACCAGAAGTGGCACAGTGTGATACTCGAGGGCGGTGGGCCAGGAAAGGTAATACAGTGGCGGCCTTGTTCACTTTGGGGGCCCTGGATGGCTGTGTAAGGAGCCTGCACACCTCCTGGGAGGAGAGGCCCCTGTAGGTGCCCCGGTCCACAGCTGGTATCAGTTGCAAGACCTGTGAGTGAGCATGCCTCCAGATGATTGCCTCAAAGTCTTTCCAGCTAAGGGGCAGAGGCAGTCCGTGTCCGCTCTGCCCTGCCCCAACTCCTGACCCACCACGTCTGTGAGCATCATACAATGGCTGTTTACGCCACTGAGTTTGGGGATTGTTTGTTAAACAGCAGTAGGAACTGGAACTCGGGAGGAGACAGAATTGGGTGGAGGAGGGAGGCACTGTGGCATCCAGGAGACCACGGAAGAGCTTGCAACAGGTTAGAGCAGTATATGGGGAGGAGTAGAGGGACACGTGCAGGATCTTATTTTGGAGATAAAACCAAGAGAATTGGCGATCACCAAGGGAGAGGGGAAAGAGGGAGGACTGGGGCCCGGGCTGCGCCCGATAGAGATCGGAGTTGGACCAGGGAGGTCGCCCAGAGCCCCCCTTCCCTCCCCTCTCGCCGGGGCGACTACAACTCCCAGCATCGCCCGCTCAGGCCGCGGGAAGGGAAAAAAAAAAGTTTGGGCCAAGCATTCCCGGAATGCGCTTCCTGCTGGCGCTGGGCGGGAGGCGGGCGGGGCGCGACGGCCCGGGCGGGGCGGCGGGCGGGGGGCAGCGCGGCCGGACCCAGGGCTCGCACTCGGCCCGGCCGGGGCCCCAGCATGGCCGAGCCGCTGCTCAGGAAAACCTTCTCCCGCCTGCGGGGCCGGGAGAAACTTCCCCGGAAAAAGTCGGATGCGAAGGAGCGCGGTGAGCGGGACAGGGAACGAAGGAGGGGCGCCGAGCCCCGCCCGGCCTGGAGGGGGTCCCGGGGCCCAAGGAGAGGCTGCTGAGGGGACAGGGGAGCCCGGCGGAGCCGGCTGCGGGCTGGGGTGAGGGATCGGGACGGGCAGGGGTCCTGGGAGGAAGGGGCTGGGGGGAGAGGGGCGCGGACCGTTATGTGCGCCCAGCCCGGGATGCCAGCGCTGCGGGCTCCTTGGGAGGCCCGGGAGGGGGCCTCGCCCCTGACAGGAAATGGGCCGATACGGTGCGCCTGGGGAGTGGAGGCGCTGAGGAGCTGGGAGCTGGGACGCTGAGCCCAGTCAGGACAAGGGGCGCTCTGAGCCCCGGAGACCGGAGATAGGAGCTGGGGAGCGCACTTCTGCAGGAGGGAGACCTGGCCATCAGTCCTAGTAGGCGCCCCTCACCCCTCCCACCTATTATTAACCAGTGGCTGCAGCTGCCTCCACCTAAGCCGCCCCAGGCAGCTGTCTCCTTGATACAGATGGGGAAACTGAGGCAGGCCGCAGTTGGGTAATTTGCCCAGGGTTAGTGAAGTGCCTTAAACAGCTCTTTGGAATATGCTCATAATAGAGAGCCGGGTAGAAATCGGAGGTGAGGGGAGGAGGGAGTCTGCAGGCAAGCAAGATGGGACCTAAAAGAAATGGGAGCTGCCTCGGGCAGGAAGTCCGAGGAAGGAAGGAGTTAAAGGAGGGAGACCAGATGACTCCTGGATCGGACCTCCCCACCAGCCCTTCCCAAAGATTCCCAGAGTAGAGATGGGACTGGTGCCCACGCACAAACACACACAGGAAACAGCCTGGATGTCGGAGGGGAGAATGGAGCAAGGGGAGGCGCCAAGGCACTGACCTGGGGTTCTGGTCTGGGCTGAGAGATGGCCCACTCCCAGTGGGGTCAGAATTGGAAGACAGACTTGGGGGGGGAGGGGGTGGGGGGAACGTGCTGCGGGAAAGGAGAACCCTGTGTTCGAGGTCATGCCTGCTCCTGTCTTCTGAGCAAGCCAGCCACTGTGTGCTTGACCATGACATGGGGGCCTAGGAAGTGCGCCCCACGCCTAGCTCCCGGAAGCCCCCCTGGAAAGAGCATCAGATCCCCCCATGTCACAGGACACACTGGGGCTCCGAGATGGGAAGTGACTTGCCCTAAGCCACCCAGTGAGAAGTGACAGGGGCAAGGCTCCATGCCAGGGTTAATGAGGGGGTGGAGAATCAGAGCCAGGAACACAGAGCTCCACCAGAGGACCCCTGAGGCCAGAGGCAGAGGGACGTTGGGGACCTCGGGGACTAAGACGGGGTGGACTCTAAACTGGCTAACCAATCCCATTCCAAACAAGCACCCCAGCCCCTGCTGGGGGAAGAGCCTGGGCTGGGGCTGTTCTTTGGGGGGATGAGGGCCTGCGCCTGACTGCCTTGCTCTCCAACAGGCCACCCAGCCCAACGCCTGGAGCCCAGCCCTCCAGAGCCAGAGCCCCAGGCCTTCGAAGGGTCCCAGGCTGGAGCTGAGGGGCCCCCCAGCCCTGAGGCATCTCGAAGTCCCTCACGAGGGGCCTACCTGCAGAGTCTGGAGCCCAGCAGCCGAAGATGGGTACTGGGCGGGGCCAAGCCCCCAGAGGAGGCCTGTTTGGGGCCTGGGGCACCTGGCAGTGGGGAGCCTGCAGGCGAGATCTGGTACAACCCCATCCCTGAGGAGGACCCCAGGCCCCCCGCACCTGAGACCGCAGGGCCACAGCCAAGCGTAGCTGAGCCAGAGGGCGTGGCCCCACAAGGTGAGCACAAGCCTTACCCGCCCCCCACCCCCACCCTAGCTCCCCAAGATGACCACAGGCCTCAGCCCCATGCCAAGCCCAGGTTGCTGAACTCTGGTGTTCCCACAGGTGTGGCCCCTTCCAACTCCCCAACCAAAGCCTCTCGAACTAAGTCCCCAGGCCCCGCCAGACGCCTGTCCATGAAAATGAAGAAGCTGCCGGAGCTGCGGCGTCGCCTGAGCCTGCGGAGCACCCGGGCGGGCCGGGAGCGCGAGCGTGAGCGGGCCGCCCCCGCTGGCTCCGTCATCAGCCGTTACCACCTGGACAGCAGTGTAGGGACCCCTGGGCGGGCGGCAGTGGCCGGGGGCGCTCGGGGCCTGCGGGCTGGGTACCTCAGTGATGGTGACTCCCCGGAGCGCCCAGCAGGGCCCCTGTCGCCGACCGCCTTCCAGCCGTACGAGGTGGGCCCATCTGCCCGGGCGCCTCCGGCCGCACTCTGGGGCCGCCTCAGCCTGCACCTGTACGGGCTGGGGGGGCTGCGGCCCGCGCCTGGGGCCACCCCGAGAGACCTCTGCTGCCTGCTCCAGGTGGATGGAGTGGCCAGAGCCCGAACCGGGCCGCTGCGCGGAGGGCCAGACTTCCTGCGGCTGGACCACACCTTCCACCTGGAACTGGAGGCTGCCCGGCTGCTGCGAGCGCTGGTGCTGGTGTGGGACCCTTGTGTGCGGAGGCACCGGCCCTGCGCCCAGGGCACTGTGCTGCTGCCCACGGTTTTCCGAGGTAGGATGCCTGGCTGCAGGGGGGAGATCGGTGGGGTACAGGGTTCAGCACTTCCCCCAGAGTGCTCAGCGCACTAAGCCCAGGGTGGGGGTGTGGCTTGGAGTAGGAGGCCAGGGCACAGGAGCCTGTGAGGGCAGACCCCACTTAAGTCCCCTTGTGTCTTTAGGGTGCCAGGCCCAGCAGCTGGCTGTGCGCCTGGAGCCTCAGGGGCTGCTGTATGCCAAGCTGGCCCTGACGGAGCAGCGGGAAGCACCCCACACAGCTGAGCCCCGTGTCTTCGGGCTGCCCCTGCAGCTGCTGGTGGAGAGGGAGCAGCCCCCCGGCCAGGTGCCCCTTATCATTCAGAAGTGTGTGGGGCAGATCGAGCGCCGAGGGCTGCGGGTGAGCCCCTCATCTCACACCCCAACTAGCCCCCAGACCTCAGACCCATTCCCCAGGACCCCCAATATACTGAGGCAAGGACTTCCTCCCGACCCTGCCTGGGATACTCCTGGCTCCAATCCCAGCCTAGACAAGGGCAGGAGGCCCCCCTAGACCATGGCACTCAGCCCCAAACCTATGGGTCATCCACCCAATTAGTGACACCGGATCCCAGCCCTTCTGGAGCTCAGAGTCTCCGGACAAAAAGACATGACTCCAATAATATCGTGCAAATATAAAACTGTGGCTGCGATAAGACTGAAGAAGCTGGGAAAGCCCAGAGCAGGACCTCACCTGCTGGGAAGTCAGGGAAGGCATCCTAGAGGAGGTGACAAGTGAACTGAAGAGGAGGAGTCAGAGGTTCCTGAGTCAAAGGATGTGGGTACCAGGACAAGTGATACAAGCAGAGGATTTACAGATCCAGGCTGTCCAGGCAGCCAGGCAGGGACCCCATGACAGGTGTCAGAGGAGCAGGAAGGCAGCCAATGAGGCTACAGCTAGCCCCCAACTTCTCAGCCTACTGCTACCCTGGCCCAGAACTCCAGACCCCACCCCACTGAGCCCTGATCAATCTGTAGCCCCAGCAAGAAGACATTCCCTCTCTGCTCCCACACCTAGGTGGTGGGGCTGTACCGACTATGCGGCTCAGCAGCTGTGAAAAAAGAGCTTCGGGACGCCTTTGAGCGGGACAGTGCAGCAGTCTGCCTCTCTGAGGACCTGTACCCCGATATCAATGTCATCACTGGTCAGCATGCCTCTTCCCTCCCCTGCCCGCTCCTCATTCCACCCTCACCTCATGGCAGTCCCTGTGGCCCCTCTGGGACCTCACCTCTTCTGTAATGGCCTTGTTTTCGCCTTCCTGCACCTGTCCTCCTCCTCTTCCCTCCTCTCAGCCCCAGCTGATCCCTCCAGAAGCCAGGCTTGCCCTGACCAGAGTGGGCCCTGTGTTCACAGGCATCCTCAAGGATTATCTTCGAGAGTTGCCCACCCCACTCATCACCCAGCCCCTCTATCAAGTGGTGCTGGAAGCCATGGCCCGAGGGCCCCCGAGCAGGGCTCCCCCCAGCACTGAGGGTACCCGTGGGCTCCTCAGCTGCCTGCCAGATGTCGAGAGGGTGAGTTGGGCATGGATGGGGTGGGTAGGACAAGGAGTGGGCTGACAGTAGGACGTTTCACCCATGCCTGGGCTGTAATGGCCACGAGCGTGAGGCATCATTAAGTAGGTGCTATTGGGATCCCCTCTTCATAAAAGTGGAAAGCGGGGTCCAAAGCAGTTGAGTGAGTTACCCAAGGCTGCACAGCCATGATATATCAAAAATGCACAAGGGAGTTCCTGGCTGTAGGATCCTGGACAAGTCCAGACCTCTTTGTGCCTCAATACCCTCATCTATAAAATGGGATTAATATCAACCCTGCCACACAGCTGTGGCCTTTGGTCTCCCCTCCAGCAAAATGGAATCATAATACTAATACCTGATGGTTAAGTCTTAGCTGTCATCTCCCAGCTGTGAGACCTTGAACCTGTTTTCCCATTCCGAGCCGCCTTAGTCTCTCTCATGCCCTCCCAACCCTTTCCTCAGGCCACGCTGACGCTTCTCCTGGACCACCTGCGCCTCGTCTCTTCCTTCCACACCCACAACCGCATGACCGCGCAGAACCTGGCTGTGTGCTTCGGCCCGGTGCTGCTGCCCGCGCGCCAGGACCCCGGCAGGCCCCGCAGCCGCAGCTCTGGCCCGGGCCTTGCCAACACAGTGGACTTCAAGCGACACATCGAAGTTCTGCACTACCTGCTGCAGGCCTGGCCAGGTGAGTCCGCCCCCCCCCAGCAGCCAATCAGATTCTCAGGCTTCAAGTAAGCCACGCCTCCTCATCAGAGTAAACCAGTGCCTGGTTGCCTCAGCAACCAGTTCATATCTAGCCAATCCAGGCTTGACGCTGCTTTTCAACATGTCAGAGATATCGTGATCTGGCTGGTTACCTAAACAGCCAATCAGAGACCCGGTTGCCGCCTCTATGTACTGTCATCACAAGCCCGCCCTCTCCCTCTGCAGATCCCCGCAGGTCCCCAGAGGCTACAGACCTCGACCCGTACTTGCAGCCCAAACAGCAGCCGCCGCTGCACTTGCCGCTGGCGGCTCCTGAAGTAGTGACTCGGACCCGCGGTCGGGGCGGCCCCGAGAGCCCGCCGAGTAACCGCTACGCCGGCGACTGGAGCGTTTGCGGGAGGGACTTTTTGCCCTGTGGGCGGGACTTCCTTTCCGGGCCCGACTACGACCACGTGACGGGCAGCGACAGCGAAGACGAGGAGGCAGGGGAGCCCACGGGCGCCGCAGACTTCGAGGATGACTTCGAAGCGCCCTTCAACCCGCACCTGAACCTCAAAGACTTTGATGCCCTCATCCTGGACCTAGAGAGAGAGCTTTCCAAGCAGATCAATGTATGCCTCTGAGCCGGGCGGGGCGGGACCCCGGAAACTAAGGGCCGGGCTCCTGGTTGCTGAGACAGTGCCCTAAAGATAGAAAGGGACCAGACCTGTCTTTCAGGCCTAGCTCCGGATTGCTGGGGAGTTGCCTAGCGACCAGCCAGCAGATGCTGAGATTTAATTTCTCATTTCCAGTGCTAAATTATTTGGGTACTGGTTGCAAAGGCCAGGGACTGGAGATTTGGGGACCAGCTGTTGTGGCCATCTTTTCTGAGGACCAAGAGCATCTCCCCCTTGCTGGACTGGCCTCTCTTGCCTCCCCTTGGCCCGGGCAACACCAGTTAATGTGAGCATCACCCTGGGATGGTGAGACACCCCCCAGTCAATCCTCTTGCTGCTGCCAACCAAATCAGTATTAGCTTTGAGCATTGCACTCTGCTTCTCCCTCCCTTTGGGAGGGCCCAAGGACTATGAGGAGGCGGTTTGGGGTGGGGTCAAGAGCAGCCCCTCCCTGGGCTCCAGCTGGATAGGGGCGGCCTGGGCTTATAGAAAAACAGTAGGTTTCCCCTCCCCAATTCTTCCTCAGCATCCTTGAAGAAACTGAGCACTTATAAGACCTCCCTTTTGGAGGGGCCCCACCTGAAGTGTCAGGCTGGGGCACTTTGGTACGGAACATATTTATTGCCTCTGTGTGTGTGTGTCTGTGTGTGAGGATGAGAGTGCATGGACACGTCTGGAGCAGACGTGTGGGGCTCTTTCAGGGACCACAGAACGGGGGAAGGGTTCACAGTGCTGAGTACCCTGAAATCCCCAGTACTGGTGCCCAGTGGGAGAGTAGGGTCCCCGTCTGTCTACCCCCCTCTTCCCCTCACTTCCATCTTTGTGAACAATAAATCAATATGCACAGGTTCTGGGATGAGTACTTGGGCCCACGTGGACCAGGGGTGGTTTATTCCGTGTGTAAAAAAAGAGAAAGGGCACAATTGGGACCACAAAGAAAAAGGCCCCAGAGCTCTCCTGTGCTTCCAGGGAGCCTCTCTGAACCCTGACCCCTCCAGCCCCTCCCTGGCCTCAGGGAGGATTATAGGGTCACTGAGCCCCACGGGATAGCCCAGAGCAGGCAAGGAAGAGACTCCAGACCAGCTAAGTAGTCCAGGGGTAGGAAGGCACCCACAAGGCCCTACACAGCAATGGAGCCATCGCGGAAGTCTGTCCTCCCAATGAGGATATTGACGACGACTGGATGGCCATCTCGGCACTGCTGCTGGGCATCACGAAGCACCTTAACCACCTGATCCTCATTCTCCCGCGAGAGCAGCAAGCCCTGGGCCCCCAGACCCATGGCGGCTTTGTGATAATCTAAAAAGGGAGATCAAGTCAGATGGTGGCAGGGACCCAGCCCACCATGCAGCCAGCCCAAGAGAGACACACCCAGCAGAGCCAGGGGCAGCCTCCCCCATGCCAGGCCCCTCACCAGTGTAGGCCAGGCCACAGGCCACATTGCTGCCCAAAGAGGGCACCTGCTCCCGAGAAATCTGGGTCCAGCCAGCATCATTCCCTATCAAGGCCATCACTGGGATCTGCAGGGAGAGGATGAGGCCAAGCCACAATACTCAGCCCCCAGGCTTGGCCAGCCAGAGGACCTCCGCCAGGCAGAAGCAACCCCGTCCCCAGCCCAGCCCACCCTGATGACATCTCCCAGAACCTCAGGCTTCACCTGGGGCGGCCGATTACCTTGTGTCTGACAAAGGTGTCAAATTCGATGAGGCTGTACCCAAAAGCTCCATCCCCAAACAGGCACCAGACCTGAGGTGGGACAGGACATAGTTGGGGTTGTTCATGGCCCAAAAAGCAGCAAGCCACCTGCCTCCAGGCTCTGACTCACCTCAGCATCTGGCCGGCACAGTTTGGCCCCAAGTGCAAATCCTGCACCAACCCCCAGAGTCCCGAAGGCCCCTAGGAGAACCAAGAGCATGTGGGTGTGAAGGGGACTGGACGGTACAAGCTGCCCCAGGCGTAGGCCCTTCCTTACCAGGATCGAGCCAGCACAGGGGGCCACGGGGCTGCACCAGGTGGGCGGCAGTGCCCACAAAGTCCCCGCCATCTACCACCAGAATCGAATTGTCAGGCAAAGTTTCTTCCACCAGCTGCAGCACCCGCACCGGGTTCAGGTGTTGGGATACAGGCATCATCGCCTTCTCCCTGCAATGGACCAGTGCAGGTCAGCAGGACCAGCAGCAGACCTTGCTGGGAACCTACCACCACCCTCCATGTCCACCAGCCCCCACCGGAAGGACTTCTCCTTCTGCTGGTCGGCTTGCCGAAGCTCCTCTGCCCAGTCTGAGGCCCATGTCTGGCCCTGAAGGCCCTCCACCAGCTTCAACACAAAGGAGCCCACGTCTCCTGGGGAAGGAAGAGGGCACAGCTGCAGAGAGGCGGCCTCCTTCTGCCCTTTCAGCAACCGAGGCCCAAGCCAACAGGAAGCCAACAGGAGCCTTGGAACACGAGGCAAGGAGGCAGGCCAGGGGCGCTCCTTGAGCAAATCGGGAAAAACATCCTGGGAACCAGGTTAGGGCAGCCCGGGTGAGAGGGAGGGCAAGGCTGGAGAAACAAGGTTTAGGGAGGACAGAGTGGGTTAGAAACCCAAGCCAACCTGTTCGCCAGCCTCCCCATGACACCCCAGATTAGGTTCTATCAGTTCTTCCTCTAAAAGATATTGCTAAAAACACTTCCATCTGCCAAGTACATCTCTACAGCCCAGGCACACAGAGTGCTTGTGAGCAAATATACCAGCTGGTGATGATGCACTTTTCATCATCTGCACTAGGAAATAATCACCTCGAGGCTCAGAGAAGTTGAGTTTCTCTTTTCCTGTCCATCCTCGATCCAGGCCTTGTCATTTCTGTCCTGACCCAGTTTAACAGACCCCTTGACGCCGCCTGGCCCCTCCAACCCACTGCCCCCCCAACTGCTACAGTGGGCCTTCCCAAACATGATGAATGAAACTGCCACTTCTCTGCTTGACACAGAGGTCCCTGTCACCAGCCCTGCAGGGAAGCCCATGTCCTTGCAATGATGGGCAAAGCAGGGCACAGAAAGGCCAGGGGAGAGAACTGATTCGGGGTTGAGGTTATGACATTGACAGAGACCTCAGGGGCCAAGGAGTGAGCTCTCTGTCCTAACAGCAGCGGGCAGCGGGAGAGGATTTGCAGCAGGGGACATGGTCACATGGACATTCCCAGGCCTTCCCTCTGGTGCACACCCACCCTGTGTTCATGCAGAAGCACTCATCAGTCTGAGAGCTGAATCTATGGCTCTGGCTGACTGGGTGCTCCCTCAGGCAAGGTCCAGAACCCAGAACCCAGCTCGAGCCAGCTGCAGCAGAGGGCCCAGGAGCACGTGTGTGGGGCGTTAGGGGCTCACCCTGCACAGCTTCCTGGGGCTTCCAGAACATGTCTGAGTTGATCAACATCTCTTTCCGGTTACGGTTGACAATGATGATCTTGCTGCTTCGGCTGAGGACACGGCCATAGGACAGACGGAAGTCACACACAACTCCTAGGGTGGGAGACAGGGGAACAGTGGATGGAGGGCCAGTGTCCTGGGGGATGCCCCCTACCTAATTTAATCCACCACAGCAGACTGAATACAAAAGGGTGCCCGTTCTTCACCTCTCCATGGCCCCATGCCACCTATGATGACTTTGTAGCTCCCCTGCCCTTAAACCTGGGCTGGCCTCGGGATGTGCTCTGGCCAGCAGCATGTGTCAGGAGGGCTGGCATGCGTTCCTGAGACCAGGCTTCAATAAGCCTTGCAGCTTTCACTCTCCTTTAAATAACTTTGCTCCCCCCGCCCTACATGTTTCATCCTCCAAGTGAAGCAGCCCAAGCCAGCCTGCTGGATGATGAGGAACATGGAGGAGGAGGTAGAGAAGAGTGAGAACTCAGAATCCTGGCTGAGGCCATGCCAACCCAGCGATAGCCCCAGCCAATCCCCAAGTATGTGAGCCAGCCCAGCCTAGATGGGCACAGCTGCCCTCCTGCCTCCCCAACCAGACTCCTGAATGAGCCCTGCCAAAACCAGAAAACCTACCCCCTTACCTGTTGGTGGGTCTTGAGAAATAATAATTGCATTTTAAGCCACTGAATTTTGGAATGGTTATTACACAGCAATAGCTAACGGATACAAGTATTATGTGTCCGCAGACTTCAAAGCACTTTATGTGAAAATGTATGCCGTATGTGTACATGCTGTATAAAGGATAAATGCTGTATAACGTGTACAAATGCAAATGCTGTGCAGAAAGTTCCACAGAGCCCACTATCTGTGTGTCCTTCTTTGTGCAAAGCTGGGTCACAGCACACAACTACAACCTGGCACGAGTCCAGGTGAATTTCAAATTCAGAGTTGTTCAAAAACCTTGAAAGGGGCAGGGATAGGGCCGGTGAGCACCAGATTAGGAGGGGCAGGATCACAGGGTAAGGGGGGTCCTGGAGTGAGGGAAAGGGAAGAGTGGGGGTGGAGGCTGAAGCCCACCTGCCAGGAGAACAACGTCTGCCTTCTTCAGGGCGGCACCGCGGTTCTGCCGGATGTGCAGGGGGTGGTTTCGGCCCAGCAGCCCCCGTGCCATCCCGCCCAGGAAGCAGGGGACACCCAGAGTCTCCATGGCAGCCCTGCAGGTCCAGGTAAGCAGAAGTGAGTGTGGCCCTGGGCCTGCCAGTCCCCACAGGGCACCAGGGGACCAGGGACCAGGAATGTGATAGTAAAGGCAGGGCTGAGGCTTCTCACCGAAGCTTGCTGGCAGGTGTCGGGGGCAGTAGGGCCTGGCTCCCCAGCACCACAAGGGGCCTTTTGGCCCGGCTCAAGATCTCCACACAGCGCTGAACCTGGGGCAAGAGGTGGGGCTCAAAGAGCCGACCCTGAGTCACCATTAGCCCCCAAGATCAAAGTCCCAATACTGACTCAGGGACAGGCTGTCCTGCCAGGTGGAGTCCTTGGCCAGGAAAGGGGCAATTTACCTGTTGGGGGGATGCCTGGGGGATGTCCAGAGGTAGGGGCCCTTCGGGCCGAGGCTCCCAGGCTCCTGCAAAGAGATTGGCCAGGTGATTCTCTAAGTACCTGCGAAGAGGAAAGGAAAGAGTGGTTACCAGGATTCATTACTGAGGTTCCAGGAGCTGAAGGAGGGAAGTCGAACAGGCACAGGGGTGGTCAAGCAATGGCCCAGGGACAAACCCCAGTGATCAAGTATCTAGCAGCCAGTTTCCCCTTGGAAGCTTCTGATGACCACTCCCACCTGACACAGACCCTCAGAAACAGGTGACACAGGCAGGGAGTGCCAGGATCAGGGACAGCTGCAGGCGTAGGCAGAGGTGGCTCTGCCGCTTCCTAGCTGTGTGACTTTGAGCAAATGATATAACTTTTCTGAGCAAACTGCTCTGTAAAATGTAAAAGGAAGCCTCCCTCCCAAGGCTCAGTGAACTATCCATTCAGGATACAAAGCACTTGGCAAAACCCTCCATCAGTGGAGCCATTCACATCATCAGTACGCTTGCCTTTCTCTAGCTTCCAACATCCCCTTCTCTGTCTCCTTACTCATTGGGATACAGGGCCCTGGTTTTCCATGAAGCCCCGTGCAGGGCTCTGAAGATACACAGATAAATCCTGCTCAGCCCTGCCCTTAAGAACGCCCAATCCAGCCAAAACCAGATACATGGGTGTTGGCAGGAAGCAGTCGGAACGGGAAGCTTCTGTTCCTCTTTGGAGTCAAACTGCAGAGAATGAGAAGAGGCCAAGGAAGGAAGCATGGAGACCCCCAACATGGAAAGAAAAGGCAAAAGCTAGCCTTGCAGGGGGCTGAGGAGGGAAGCCTGGGGGGAGGGGAGGTGGAGGGGACTATGAGGCCAGGGAG